GGATTTCCAGGGTTATCAAATCAATTTATATTATTTTACACAATGGAAGTCCGAACTGATGAAATACATCATTCAGGTACATCCTCTACTGCGATATATGGTAGTAGATGGTATATATGGATGGAGTAGATGGTATATAGATGAATTAGAAACAAAGGATCCACCCAGATCCCCGATTGGACTCCACTGACAAGGAACATATTTAATTTTTTCTGAATTCAACGTTTTGGTGTTCTTAAGAAGCATATCAGAAGGTTCAATTTTGTATTGGTAATGCTTTTACGTAAGTATATCAATGTGAAATCCAATTGAAAGTTATCAAATTGAAATTGGTTTTTGAAAATACCTTCATCGAAAATTTTGGTCATAATTGGTTATGGTTATATAATGTGAACTCAATAAGAGATCTGTTTAAATCTGTTTAAAATCTGTTTTTCCGTTAATCATCTGTCGTCCCCATACGAACGACAACTCTCAGGAGTTGAGAAACTTGTGCGAGCTGAGGACTAACGAGGTCTTACCTTTTAACGTGTGATTCCTGACACGGTTGCAGAATCATTCCAGCTTCAACCAGATAAATTCTCTCGAGAAAAATATCTGGTCGAGGCGGGAACGAACACACGACCTTCCGATCGTGAGTCGTGAGTCTGCATATGATCATTCAAATGATAGTGGCTTGTTAGAAGGCCTGTTAGACATCGTAGTTCATCCCTGCTGTAGTCCAACAAATGTTTGGTATCAGGCTTCGAAGGTTGAATAAACGTCTTGGAGTGAGCCAATCCTGGAAGATTCTGCCAGAAGTCTATAAAACTTCTTGCCATCCAGATGTTCAATCTTTGTTTGGCAAAGTCTAAAGCGATGCCAATGACAGGTTCTGGTCTGATGAAGCTGCTTGTAGCACCTTCCTTTGCAAGGGAGTCAGCAGCCTCATTGCCTTTCAGACCAGTATGGCCAGGAATCCAGACCAGATACAATTTGTTAAGTTTTCCTATCGAGGAGAGTTGTTTTTGCCAATTTGCTATCAATTTAGACGTTGTTCGGTTGCAGCCAAGAGCTTCCAACGCCGCTTGACTGTCCGAGAATATTTTTATTGACTTGTGTATGAGGTTGGATTCATCCAATATCTCCGCACACAATTCAATAGCGTAAATTTCCGCTTGAAATACAGTCACATAGGTTCCTAGACATGTTGATATCTCTGTTTTCAAACTGCGACTGAAAACACCTGCACCAGAACCGGAAGGTGTTTTTGATCCAGTCCTCTCTACTCGGGAACAGACTTTATAAGGCAGTTCGTAGGTGACAGTTGGAAGCATAAAGTCAAAGGTCATTTCCAGAATGCTGTGACTTCTGGTGTCAACCAACAGTCTGTTGCACTCTGCAGTAAATTGATTTGTGCAATTGGCAATGTGCACAAGTCTATATGCAGTTGAAAACTATCGAAAAAGTATTGACTTTTGTATTCATTAACTTCTTACACATATCAATTCCTTAATATCTTGTAACTATGGTGCGGTTCAGGCCATATCCCCCGCTGGTCAGGCTCTATCCCCCGAAGCCCTGATACATTCGGGAGGGCGCGCCAGCATTATCAACCAATGACCACTCCCCCACACCGTGGGGTAAGTGATCATTGGGTCCGAGAATCATGTGCCCCTAGCAAGCGCAGTGAGCCAAGAATGACAGCCTTCTGCAACTGTGCGGCTAAGATTTCTGCCTTAGCGCGGCAAGCCGGTTTGATTTTAAGATTCGAGAGTAGAGAGGACATCATTCCACCAAGGACTCCAATAATCAGAACAACCTTCTTGACAGTGTGATCTGAATAGAGTCTGCGGAGTTCGAAGAGAAAATCTCGATATTTTATCCGTTTTTCCTCCTCTTTTCTGACGATATTCGTCTCGCCAGGAGCTGAAAACTCAACGACAAATATCGTTTTGGTCTGGTGGTCGAGAAGGACTACATCAGGCTTATTAGCTTGTATGAGCCTGAGGGTGGGGAACGAATTATTATTATTATTATCATCATTATTTTTGTTTAAATTAACGGAAATTTCACGATAAAATTTTCCGATAATTTCTACACTTGAAACGCCCATAGGAAAGAGTGTTTCAGATCTAGTGTTTGGGAACAGTGATAGTTTTCTATATTTTTTCGTTGTTGAAAATCAAACCTGAGTGAACTCTAGCGTCATCCACTATAAAGGGAAAATTGTATTTTACAGAAAACTTTTATGATATTATGATATTGATTTCTTATTCTTCTCCAAATCAAACAACTCAGCTCCGTAAATATTGATCTGCCTTATTTGGAATGCTGTCGACATCTATGCGTGGCACAAAGAGATAACAATCAAATCCTTTTCAATATATCGACGTTTACAAAAATATGTAGTTTTTATGCATACAATTCTCAAAAGTAACTCTGTTTTTAGAAGAAATTATTCATTTTTGTATCATCGTCTACTTTTTTCCTAATTCCAACTAGTGGAATTATAATGCAGGATCTGGTCACTAGATGACAAAGCATTGAAATTATTATTGACTTCCACTTTGTTGGAAATTTGAATTTTCATGCAGATACCTTCTAGTTTTATGATCGACTAAGAAGTTACTACCCTCACATATAAATGTCAGGATCAAACAATGGTCATATAAGATCATATTTATGGATGGTAGAAACTAGAAACCAAGAATATTAGTTCAAGCACCGTACAGAAGTAAACAGTGTTTACTTCTATACGGTGGTTCAAGTGTTCAGTGTTGCCACTACCCTCTCACTACCCACGATCCTGGGTAGTAGTAGTAGTTCTTCCTGATCATTTTCTAACAAAATTTATTTCGAATCACTACCGGCTAATCGAAATCACGATATGGTAAAAATCTTGGCATTATTTTTTATAGACACATTGAGAGTTATGACGGAAATCATGATTGCCACCAATTGAATATTAAACTCGGTCTTTACTTAACCCCTCATCAAATCTGATCATTCGCTATAATGAACTATTTTGAATTGGCGCCAATAGCTACTTGTACATTTTATACCGAATTATTTTGGCAGAAGACTATTACCTTTTTTTCATCATCACATAGTTGGGAGTATAGAAATACAGTAATTATGCGCAAGTTCTGGAGTTCTTCTAAAATAATTCGTTGCTACATGTATCAAGCTACTTATTCACTCCTTTGTGGCTTTTGAAGTTGAAATTAACAATTTTCTCGAATTGAGTTCTGAGAAGTGAAAGAGCAGGTATCGAACACTTTACATTAATCGACAAGGAACTTTAAAACTTTAAAATTTGAAAATGCTGACTTTTTGAAAATGTTGGGTCCTGGCAAAAATCAGGTAATTTGAAACACATCTTTGGGTAATTTGACGATTCATTATTGGCATCAGTACTAGTATCACTAGTAGGATTATCATTTAGGAGAGAAATGTTTTGGCTTTCTACTTCTCCATCTTTATACAAAAAATGTAGGAATCTTCCAAAGGAAGAAAGCAAATGACTCAAATATTTAGATCATGCAAAAAGGTAACTTTCAGACACAAACTGGAAGAAAAACCCTCTCGAAACTACTACTTTGAAACAACTACTTTTATTCCATTTGTACTTCAAACATTCTTAATGGAATTGAAACAGAAATCATTCACAGGATTTTTACACAATATATTACATGAAAAAGGTAAAATTGAGGATGATTGTCATGACGGACATTTAATATTTCGGAATTACGATGTCATGTCACGAATGAGTTGAATCTACTCATGTCATCGATGACAGTATGCAATGATATTCATTCGCTTATTTGATTTAATCCCAGCCATATGGTTTTTATATTCCGTCATTAATGAATATGTATTACTGATCTTACCTAAAATAAAATAATTTATTTCATTTGATTATTTTCAACTGATTTAATAATTCAGTGCAGTTAAAATGATTAGTGTACTTTAGGAAAAAGAAAGTAGTATGAAGTTGAATTGAAGTACATACTACCTGATGAAACAACTTCCGAAGTAGAAATTCAAATTAAAATTTATGTTAAAAATGGTATGCCGGTACATTAATACCCTCTCTATATATTGTTTTCTTTGTGATTTTTTTCATTTCTATAACTTAGTCGTACAAACATTTTGAAACCAAAAGAGATACCTGAAAAGTGGGAAAAAACTCCATGAACGTTAGTAATAAGAATAACGACTGATCAAAAACAAATTTCTAAATGAAAAGTTTATTATTTTGAAAAAAAACATGAAAATATGAAGTTGAACAACCATTGATTCAAATAACCGAGAGTAAATGATGATCACCAAGGCCAAGACTGCTTGCCAAGAATATTTCTCTGTTATTATTTCCAATAAGTTTCCAACTGACAATTTCTGATCATCAAATGGATAATTTGCGATTATAGTTCCTTATAGAATTCTTATGATGTTAAAGCTTCGATTTACAACAAACAACCGTCGGACGCTTCTTTCTTTTATTTATGAGACTAGTTCGAGTTTTTCCTATGGAAATTTCATAAGGGCAAATCATTATGCTATCGTGAATCCCCTGCTGTCTATATTGTGGCGGAGAAGTTGGGAGACAAAAGAGCTGTTTCAATTTGGAGATTTATTATTACAAATGAATACTTTTTTGTAGAAAGATCGCCTATAACACTGTCCAAATGTGTATTTTCACGAATGTATCTGGTATCTATTCCAGGCACACCTTCATTACCCTACAAAGATCTTCAAAATTAATCAGTTCAATGTTTCTTTTTTGCATTTCTTCCGGAGAACTAATTATATATTTTCTAAGAGATATTTATGTATTGTGTTATGTATATCACAATTACGCATTTCATTGCATTTCAATTTCTTTCTTTAATATTCAGAAAATGGGAACTAGGAAATTGAAATAGGAATTTGAAGAAGTTATGAACAGCACCAATATTTCGGGTATTGTTTACCCAATTAATTATGGTCAGGATTGGATCAAAAATAAAAGCCAAAAATTAAAAAAATCGTCAATATATTGACCATATATATATACATTGTTATCGTATAATTTCTAGATTACATAGTACATATCAACGTGGAACTGAATCTAGTTACATGAATATCATTCAATTTGTACAAAACATTTCTAAAATATCATCTAGAAAACTACTTTTGATTTTTTATTCTTGTATAAAACTCTACATCATATATTTTCGTTTCGAAATTGTTCTCATAGTATGAATACATACCAAAAATCAAGTTACCAGTTAGCATCGGCCTCTTGAAACAACTAAAGTACACATTCAGGGGATTTTTATTCTCGTTGAATAACTACATACAATTCTGTTACTTTTTTTTTCGAATAGACATTTTATTTAACTTGAGAAATTGTCATTAATGAATTCTCGATTATCTGGTGCCCTATAACAAGTGAACGAATATTATCAACAGAAGCACGATAAATAATTATTGAAAATGTATCTTGTTGAAAGTATCCATTGAATATTTCGTAAATACAAGTGAAATGGGGAAATGACAATGAAGGATTCTGAAGAGTCAGATTTTTCAAAACGTCATAACAAAACAATGTTCAACAGTAATTTTGAATACTCTCACCCTGTTTTTATTTGAATAGAGCATATCTGAAACTTAATCAAAATAAAACAACTTTCAGGACATAAAATATTTCCATCAACAAAATTGTACCCTTCAAAATACCTCATTGGCTACAAAAATTGCACAAATTTTGGAACTTGGTCCTAGAATATCCTTTCGCCAAAGACAATACTTCACGATATAACAACTTACCATAAAAATAACTCTATTTATACATAAATATAAATTCGTAAAGCGATTTTAAATAAAGCAGGGCATCAATATGCCGGACCAACAAAATATAAATTTGGCAAATCCAAACACTTATACTTTCTTGGTCCACATAGTTGAATCTTGTTTCTTTCATTAAGTATTTCGTCAATATTATATACACTGAGAAAAGTTACAACCAGTTAGGCCCCAAAGAATTATCTAAAATATTCACAGCATCGAACCTCTCCATATCGGAGAAAATCTGCTTGAGTTGCGTTAAGGCGTTGCTATCCCTATTTCTGGCCTCCCACAGGTCAAGGATGCAGTCCGTAGGTGAAGGTTTTGTTGCAAAGAAATTAATGTATCTGTCAACAGCCAACGCGTGCGCTAGCATCCTCCAGTCGTTACCCCTCTGCGTAGGGGGGTCCAAACATTGACACAGCTGCTTTCTTAGCTGCTTCCCCAGTCTGAAATTGAAGTCATCGCAAGTTGATACCCCTCTGTCTGTGACAATCAGGTTTTTGGTGTCTAATTTCTTGGCACTCTTTGCATATTCGACTTGGGATTTTCTGCTGTCGATTGACTTGCTGGATTCCCCTAGCTTTGGCACAAATTCGTTGTGGTTGAACTTTCCCGAGCTGGTTTTCTCAGTTAGATCAGATCCATCATCTCTACAGCAGATGTCAAATACCTGAATGTAGTCGAAACCCTTCTGGTTCACCCTGAGCTTAAAATTGAGGTTTCTGTTGGCTTCAATATTCTCCAACGTGAAAGAACAGTGCAGGCTGTTGCTGTTAGCCTGCCATAGGTGTCTGAACGGTATCTCTTGGTAGTTTGTCGAAGGCTTGGCTCTCCATCCTTCTCCGATAGTGTCCAGAGCCAGGCAGAGGTTGCTGTTGCCGTCCTGGAAGGTGATGGTTCGCGGTTCGTCCAGGAGGTAGCCTCCCAAGCGCTTTTCCTGGCCGAAGACGGTCTCCATGGAGCTGTCGGTATCCTCAAGGACGTATACCCTCACGCTGTAGTCGCCCGAGGATTGAAAGCAAAGTTTGGGGGCGAATATCGCCAGTTTCAGTCTCTTGATGGCTCCCCCGTTCGAAGATCGGCCGACAATGACGAACCTGGCGAGGCAGTCGGTCACCAAGTAGGCCGAGGTTTTATCGAGTTGACAGAACACCGCCGTGTTTATTGTTTCCTGGCCTAGGGTGACGGCGCTTTGCCACTGCGAGTCGCTGCAGTCGCTCTGGAGCACGGAGATGGACCAGTTATTCCTGGTGACTTCCGCACAGTGGGGCACCTTCAGCACGACGGCCTTGTTGAGAGAGATGTTGGGTCCGCATGAGACCACCGGGCTGAGTTGGGTCAAGCCTTCGGCTAGTTTGGGCCTGAAGCAGTCCTCGTTGAGTATCGACAAGAATAGTTCTTGTTTCCGAGAGCGAGATAGGGCTCCTTCTGGTATCAGGAGACTGACTCCGGATTCGGGTAAGTTTAAGAAGCCTCCGACGTGGGAGAGGGTAGCGCTTGTGTAGTTGCCGTTGGTGGTGGGACTAACTGCGTAGGCTGCAGGGAGGGTGGCGATCGGTAGGGTGACGGTGTCTGTTGCTACTTCGTAGGTGGAGTCGGCTGAAAAAATTAGGATGAGTTGAATGATGAGGCGAAAAATATGTTCTAGTATCAATGTTTTCATCACTTGAGCCAGTCTGGTTTTCATACATCCATTTCAAAGTTAATCAGATATGAGAAAATGAGTGAAGGGTATACATGATTGTAAAGGAGAAGTGACCAGTCTAACAGAAGTGAAATATACCAAATTTAGTCATGATTCGAAAAACTTTTCTTTGAAACCATCAAGTAAGACTAAGAAAGAAACATAATCTGAGACACAAACGACAAAGCTAAATATAGATGTGAATTCAGAGTTGGAATAGTAAATAGAAAGATAGAAAATGGAGTAAAATATCAATATTGTAAAAGAAAATACTAAAAATAGGTAAGATTTTGAAAAAGTGATGTAGATATGTAAAATAGCAGGAAGGTGAGCAAATAACCAAGAAAATCATAATGAAAAAGTAGCTAGTGAGAAAAAATGAAAAAGCAGTAGTGCTGTTTATGATTTTCATTAAGTTAGCTGTGTTGATTAATGAAACAATTGATTGCAACTATATGACATTTATAGAAACACTGGTAATGATAAAAAATGTTTCATTACTTGTTATTAGTTTATTGAATTTCAAAACATTTTTTCATAGAAGTTAAAAAGTTTTATAATAATGGTAGTTCCATTTCATATAAAAAATATTATGGGTGCCATCTCTCGAATAACTAACTGATGTGGAAGATATTTCAACCCACCCCTAGAGAAATCTGTAACTCAATCCCCATTTCCCTTTATCGATCGGAAATAAAACTGCAAGCACTTACAGTTATTCGTGAATCCGCTCAGTTGACTTCTCTTGCCGCTAGAGGACTCTAGCGTAGAACTCGTCGCCGGCGACATCTGGATATCGCTGCCTGAAGTTAGATGAGGGACGTCATAGTGATGTTCGGAGACAGAGCGAGTGACTGACGTCGCCGAGGGGGTGGTGTAGGGGTACTCGTAGCACGGGGGGATTGTCTGCGTGAGGTCCGGTTGAAGAGAGAGTGACTTCTTGTCGGGGTCAGGAAAAAACTCGGGGTGATAGTCTGAAAAATGGAAAAGTAGAATCAAACATATAATATACAATAATCATCAAGATAATTTATTCCTTGAAAATCGTCATCTGTTGATGAGGCAAATATGTTTGGCGAAACTAGAATGTCAAAGTTATTTGACATTATAATGTGCTGGTGATTGTTCTGGAATGAATATTTTTCAACAAATAAATATTAAAATGATTTCATTTTCAAGGATTCTTTCAAAAAAAGTAGAAGCAATATTATTCGAGATTAACTACAAAATATATTTGTCGATTTCAGAAGTATAACGTCGTAATGTCATGTAATATTATCCAAAATGGTGCTGATGAAGTCATAAGACAAGTATCTTGTCCCGAAACTTCGAAGTACACCTTTGAGGATGATAGTGTTACATGTAAGTGACGTTTTATATCATTATGTGAATATTTTTCCCTCATGTAATTCAATGTTTATGTGAAAGCTTTCATTTCGACGGATTTTTTTCTGGTTTGTATCTGCAATTACGAATCATCTACATACGAATTCCTCCTAAGAATTCCTCCTAAGAATATTCTTTTTCAACAAAGGATAATAATTGTTATTTGTGAACAAAGATTTTCTGTTAATCGTATTTAATGAAAATTCATTATTGAAAATCTAGTGAAACAAAGTAATATCTTGGAATGCCTGGTTCGTATTCATCTCCCTTCGATATATTTAAATCAGAGGATTTTTCCGTACTCCCCAGATTGTATCTGAAAAACCTGCGCTTATTCAATATATCTCATTTGTATTCAACATCTCCGCCGAAAAGATAATGCCGTTTTATGATTTTTTCCATGTAGGTCACGCATCGAATCAAATTCCAACCGATTGACCTTTTTTCGGCGAGTAGAACGGCGAAAACGTTAGGAAGATGAAAGTCAAACAAAAGGGAAACAAATATTAGAACCTGAACGTTTACACAGCCGATTCAATAACGGTTTCGAGGGAAACCCAGATAGAAGCACATGGGAAATTCATTTATTTCAGATGTGAACATTTAACAAAACGATTGATTCGAGAATTTATATTCACTCAAACATGAGTTTTTTTTGAAAATAAAGTGATTTGTTTGGGACAGAGACAAATCAGATGGATTCAACAAAATATAGCATTGAACATCATTTAATTTCACAACAATAGATTGTGAAAACAAATATCACCGACGAATATATCACAGAATAGAAAAATAGAAATATACTCTGAAGAATGTGGGGAAAAAAGACATTGAACACAACTCTGAAATAGAATGGATATAAACATGTTAAAATAATGAATTGGGATAGAATGACTGACCAAGAATCAGGAACAACTATCCAAACCACCGCAAATTGGAACAGGGACATGGAATTCCGAATTTTCGGACAAAACTATGTGAAACACATAAAAAACTTGAATTTCACTAGTTCGGACTTCCATTCTCTACTATATAAAATGATTTGAAATCCCTGGAACAACTAAAAAAGAAGAATTAAAAATGAATAGCTGAAAATAACAATTATATTAAGCAAAATAAACCTGAAATGAAATAATAGTGAATTAAATACAAGCAAAATAGAACAATTGAACAAAAATAAATAAAAATGAAGAAATGAAAAAAGANCATTTCAAATCATTTTATATAGTAGACAATGGAAGTCCGAACTAGTGAAATTCATCATGAAACAATGTCAATCACCTTGAAACATAAAAAACTTATCAACATCAATCAGAAATCAGCAAATTATGAATTGGGAAGAAAAAGTCATTGACACTTCGAAAAAAAATGTCTATAATAAATACTAACAAAAAACTGGAGCATCAAAAACTGCATGTCGGAGAAAAGTTATTGCAGCCAACTACTCACTACCTAAAAGCCAAAATCATGAAATCCAGAATTGGCTCAAGACGCTGCTGGGCAGGGTTGGTAGATTAGGTGCAAAGTGAGTAGGTCTCTTCGACCCTGTACTGCAATCCGCGAGGGTTTAATGTGGCTCGCATATATTCATACTTGACTAAATAGATTCAGTTTCCTAACGAAACCCATAACTTTATTTAGTAAGTGAAAACCCGAGCCAGTTTGGAACATAGAATAATCCACTCCAAGATTGACAGAGCTTCCCTTGGCTTACAGAACTCACCAGCACATAACATGAGTCACATAGAAATGAATGAAAATGAACTAGAAATGGTTCTCGAAAATGAAAATTCGGTAATAGATTCAACAATTTCATCGGACTTAGAACCTAAGTTAGAAATAAGCTGAGAATTATCTGAAATATGGAAATCTTCAAATTGAAATGCAGAGAATGTGAAACCTTGAAACGAAAACAAGTGATAAGAACAACATAAGTTGTAATAAATGACACCAGTGATTCCTTCAATGAAGTCCCGGATGGATATAACCTCATCACCAAGATGAAAGCAATTTTGTTGATTACAGCCAACATGGTAGATAAAGTACTATAACATAAACCATGTTGTATTTCAAATAAGCTGTATGATTATTTAAAATGATAACAATTTTCATTGGGAATTGAATATAAAGAAAAATATATACATATAAAGAAATCGCAGAAGCTGACGAAGCTTCTGTGATTCTAATTCGTAGTACTAACCAGATATAAACATATAAGTATATGGTAAAATTTCAATTAGGAGTACAACTAATTATATGTTTCTAAAATAACCTTGACTGAGTACAGTTGTGAATGACATTTTTATTGGCTCGAATGGAATTCAACTGTTCCTGCTGCACAAAGAGTAGCCCACATCATTAGTAATTGAAATTCGACCGAAACTCCTACCACCCCATCACAAAAACTGCTTCGAAACCGACTCGTCATCTTTACATTTCGAAGAACACACCCCCATCCCCATTAGGAGACGTCGGAGGAGCGCAAAGAGAAATATCATCCTTTCCTTAGCATGATGAATTATTCTTCTTCAGGATGACTTATCGCATTCAAACTCCATTCATCACAATGGATCTCTTCGCCCTTGATATTAATGACGATGCGTTATGCTAGCTAATTGCTATCTTTATTTATTGTTGTACTTCCTTTCTGGCGTTCGACATGGAGATGATCTTAATTCCGAGCGGGACATTGTTGGGGATCGGTCACAGCACAAAAGGTTACGGAAAAGTCTTGAGGAATAGTGGGTGAAAAAGATACAATTTGGGTAAAGCCTAAGTTTATAATAAGAAAGTCTGATTTTCAAACGATTGTAAATAGATTCAATTCTTAGGTTGAGTATTGATACATTTGATAGTTTTTGATTATTCTGGAAATTGAAGTGATGGACAAGCGAATGTTTGGTTGAAGCAGAAGCATCAGGATTGTTTTTTCAGTTTTTGCACCCCACATTTTTTCTAGATTTTCTTTTCATTTTCATTGTTTCAATAAAATTACTCGATTTTGAGAATGTTATGCCTACACTTCTGTGATAGCGTAGTTTTTTCGAAGTGGATACCATAAGACCTCAAAATTTTAACGATAAATTTCCATTTTTCATTTTTGCAAGGAAAACTTTGTTACTTAGCAATATGACAGCCTGTAGGATGGGTCCATGGGACAAGGATGGGATGATTTCGAAGATATGTGATAAATGCAAAATGAAAAATAAAACTTTCTTTGTTTTTTGCCAGTTTTATGTATAACTAATGTTACAGCTGCTTCGTCATATAGGGATATTTTCAAAAAAATACAATAAACTGAAAAATAAATCATAATGGTGGCCCTTATAATTGTTATTGTTTGAAAATGTCTTTATAGGCCGAAACTGCAGTAACGTTACTTACAAATAAAAGTGGTAAAAAAACATAGAAACTTTCATTTCTCATTTTTCATGATGATCTCCTACCACGAAGTAACGGCTATATCCATCAATTGATATGTGATGGAATTGAAGAAAATTGTATCCAGAAAAAATTGTTACGGTTTTGTAAACTGTTCAGTAAAAATTTCACCATAAAATGTTTCTTGAATAAATTCAGAAGATATCCAAGGAAAGCAATAAATTTCATAAGGTTCATAACGAAGTGTTCAATCAAAGGCAATAAAATCAGTTCCAATTGGTCATTAATATCATTAATATATCTATGAATTCCTTGATTTGATTGGTGCAATCAACTTCGAAAATACCATTCGGGTGAAATATCAGAAGATATTAAATTAAGTAATCAAAGTCAGCGTGAGAACACATACGACTGTTAATAACCACTGACCATATTTATAGCGAGAGATGTACCGTGAAGATAGGTTATAATGGTAATCAATTTAATTTTACTGCATCTGGATTATTTCAATTATTGCTGACTAAATTTTCAGATGGTCTCAGGAAGCAAATTCTTTAGAAAGATATGGAGGAATAGAACAAGAACAATTTTCGTAATAGGGAAATTTATCAGTCGTATAATAATTGTAAATAGATAATTGAATAAATCTTTTTGGAATATCATTCTATTGCATGCGTCATTCAAATTATTGCAATCGTTGGTATGAATTATTTTTTTTTGTCTGAATTGTCTGAATTATAATCACTGTATGTGTATCTTTTATGAAAATTTCGCAGATTTTTTATAATTTCACAGATCTCTTGAATCGCATTACCAAGTAGACCATCTTTACGTGCGGTTTCATTTTTTTCCCTTTAGTACATATATGTACGATTTTACTTATCTTGTGTATTGATTCTTGAAAATGTTCATGCATTGTACATTTTTTGTCCAAACAGACGTGTTCTCGGAGCCTCGCTTCAAAATTTCTACCGGTTTGGCCTGTATATACTGCAGAGCATTCGCCACAATCTGTTCTATATATATCTGATTTGTTGATTCTATCTCGTTTTGGGTTTGCATTAAACAGAGTTCCGCCTAAATTATTATTAAACTTTATACTTGATAATGGGGTTAAACCCGAAACCGGTAGTATGAATAAAATCAACTAGTGGCAATTAGACAAAAGTGTTTTTAATCATTTTATCGAAGTGATTATGAAATACCA